ATTTCTACTTAATTTTCTAGTTAATTCTCAGCAACGTGTGTGTCCAAAGAAACCCTTAAGCAACTCGACCCAATGTTTAAAAAATGATTCCATCCGAAGAGAATATTTCCGAACATCTTAGCGAGTACAGAACTTGGAAAAATTACTTGAAAAATTGCATTTCGGCCAGCTTTTCGAGAAAAGAGACCGCAGTGCGACGCGACGAACCGGTTGTGGCCCTGGCCGCTGCACTTATTTGGCCCCCGACGCGCGCCCCCTGCGCCCCCCAATCGGCTATAACCCGATCCTGGCAGACGAGACCAAGAAGAAAAAAGCACGGAAGAACTCGCAAAAGTGAACCGCGCACCTGGCCCAACGATGAAAACGCGGATTCGAGGCACCGTCGGAGACGCTCGCGCGCGCGCCAAAACGAACAGTGAAGTCGAGTAATTTCACAAAGCAGCCGTGAAAAGGGTTCGTCAACCTTCGTGTACCGCAGCCAGTACGAAGCATGAAGAACGTTCGAAGTGCAGTAAGACCGAGGGGCGTGATGTTAATCGCTGTTATAGCTCTCGATCGGTTGATAATCGGCCGAAGTGCTCGATTATGAGAAACAATTCGCGCGTTGTTGTCTGCAAGAATATTGGTCGCGGAGAAGCAATTATCGAAGAATTGAAGTTGGTACACGCTGGTCAAATGTTAACGAATTGAGTCATTTTATTGTGAAAGTGGCCCCTAAGTGCATTTGTGAATTATTGGGTTGGCAACTAAGTAATCGCCGATTTCAGTTATAGATGTCTCTCACTCCCATTTTTATGATATCCGTAAATGTTATATTATAAAATTATTATACTATATATATACTATTATTTACTATTATTTATAATACTATATGTTATACTGTTATATTATTATTATACTATATATACTATTATTTACTAGTATTTATAATACTATATATTATACTACAATATTATACTATTATACTCTTATTATACTATCGATACGATTATTTACTATTATTTATTTATATATATACTATTATTATATTATATTATACTATATATATTGTATACTATATATAATAGTATAATATTGTAGTATAATAAATAGTATTATAAATAGTAATAATATATATATATAAATAAAAATAATAGTAAATAATAGTATGTATATATACAATATATATACATTTATACTACATATATTTATTTATTTATTTATATATATATTTTTATACTGTATTTATACTTTTACACTTCAAATTTATAAATATCCGTGGTCTAATTATTACTATTACCAATAATATTCGTTCAAAAGGCTCCTACAAAACGACACCATAAATAATTACATGTGTAATACTGTCCCATGACAATTGTTTTCAGTATCCCCATATCGGTCTCCCCCATGTAAACGGTCAAGTGGTTACATAAGTCTATAAAAGGAGCAACAATTGCGACGCTGAATTGCAACACTGTCGAGAATAGGTAAGAGAGAATTGAGCCTTTTAAGGAATATTGACCTCCATTTGCGCTGGTTCGTCTTTTGTAGCAACGTGAACGTGAAATTCAAAGCTGATCAAAATCAAGACAGATCCCATACACACACACACACAAACCTATCCTATCGAAACCGATTGTAATGTAAAAAAGAAACTAATTTGAAAATAGAAATAGAAATAGAAATATTAATAGAAATAAAAATATTTAGAAATAGAAATAGAAATATTTAGAAATAAAAACAGAAATATTAATAGAAATATAGAAATATTTCGAAGACTTCATGTTCGAAATAACATTTCAAACAATATCACAGAAAATTCTGTTCAGTTTTACGCGTCAGAGAATCGGGGAAACGAACAGAAAACCGGCGGCGTTCTCGCTAAAAAAAAGTTAGCCGTTTCATCGGTCGCTCTTCGCGTTCGCCGCACTTTCGCGATGGAAAGTAAACAATACCGTGCATTCAGGGTCTTCTAATTCACACCTGAGAACGCGATGAAGAAGGAAAGAAAAAAAGAGAATCGGTGTAGAATTCGCTCCTTTCTCCGTTGCGACCTTTCGTTTCGGCAAGTTTTCTCAAGGAGAAGTAAGGAGCATTAATAAAGAAACGGAGCCCGTTGTCTCGCGCCGACTCGGTTTTCACCGTGAAAACGCGCGCGTTGCGAACCTTTCCACGTGCAACAGAGTGCACAATGGAACACCCGGTCGTTCCACTTTCGAGCCAGCAGTCCCTGGTCCTTCGCAGGACCTCGCGCGCCTAAACAGGACTTCGTGCAACGTGCACAGTTTGCGACAAATAAGTCTCGAAACTGACCGAGTTCCAACATCATTGAAACAAGATATACGAATATTTCCCGATGTTTTTCATTAAAAATATTCTCCTCCAGTTTCGATACACTTGTCACAGCGATTCGACGGCGATTCAAACGCGTGTTCCAGCTCGTTTCGTGAAATCGCCTCTAGCGCTCGCGTCGGAGCTGTTTCGACGGTCGAGATGTCGTTAAAAATGCATCCTTTCGACTTCAATTTCAATTTTGGGACCAGGGAGAAGTCGCCTGGAGTCAAATCAGGCGAACACGGTGGACGATTCGACGCGCGGACTCGATTTCGAGCCGAAAATCGACGAACAACGAGCGAGACGCGACTCGGTGCATCGTCGCGCAACGGACACCGGGTCTCCGGATCGCGATATTCGAATCGAACACGACGGATTCTGGCCGTCGAACGCTTCGAAGCTTCGAGATAATATGTTCCAGTAATCGTTTGGCCGGTTGGAACGAATTCCCCGCGGATAATTCCTTCGCCGTCGAAGAATGTAACGAGCATCGTCTTGATTTTCGATGGAACTTTCCGGTGCTTTTCGGCTCACGGTAAATCTTTCGACTTCCATTCCGCGCTTCGACGCTTGGTTTCCGGTTCGTACCGAAAGCACCGTGTTTCGTCACTCCGTAACAATTGATTTCAGGAAGTTTGAAACGTTTCCGGCGACTGTGACCGCTTTCTTTGGAACGATCGACGCGCGACGATTTTTGGTCGTGTTTCAACGTCGACGAGTAAGTTGTTCAGGGAGAATTGTTATAACTTTGCTGTTTATCAACAGATCAAATCGAAATTTATACCGTTCGAAAGAGGAATGTCGCAGCTTTCAAACGCCGGTTTAAAAACATAGATCGCGCTATTTGTTATTGAGATATTGAACCGAGCTCTCGAAACTTATTTGTCGCACTGCTTGCGAAAATATCAATTCTTCCACGTTTATAGTGGTTTTTGCTGATTTATCAACGGATCGAATCGAAATTTATACCAGTCGAAAGAGGAATGTCACAGCTTTCAAACGACGGTTTAAGAACGTAGATGACGCTATTAGTTAATGAGATATCGTTCTCGAAACTTATCGCGCTCGTGGCCATTTGCCAACGACAGGCTCGAAAGTTCCTCTCCGCTGCATCTCTCGTTGCATTATGCAGCCCGAGCGACTGCATTTCTCTGTCTCCGTCCCTCAGCCACGTCTCCCCGGTGCTATCCTACTCGCCGGATAAATATGTATGTCGGACGGGACATGATTTATTTGCGCGAAATTATCTTCGTCACTCGTCGTCGGATCGTTACCATGATCGAGGACGTAACCCTCGCCGTGTTCTCAGGGTCAAGGTTATATCTTGTGCGATCTTTTCTCTTGGCGAACGGGTTTATGCTGTCTACGCGCTTCCATCCGTGAGTCATCGCGTACTATCTCATACCCACTGCCCAATAATAAGTATTTCGACTTTTCGACTGTTTGTTTTGTGGTTTCGTTGTTTGTCTTTCAGGCGTTGCTTTGCGAAAAGCTGTCGTTGAAGCGTCTTTTTTAAACAAGTAATGGCTTTTTGTACGAACAAGTTTATACTTTTATGCAGCATCGAATGCAGCATCGAACAGTGCAATGCACTGTTTGTGCATCGGAAAATTAACGCGTTCCATTCGACGAATGTTTAAAGCGTGCATCAGCGCAAATATTTGAACAAATAGAAGGCTATAGACGCGAGAGAAAAAGAAATTGTTGTTAAACAAACATTTGCAGTCTAGAGATATCGGTTTAACGAACCTAATCGGTCGTCCACGAAACGGTCGGCTATTCGCAGGGACAAATTCCCGTTGTTTTCAGTTTGCCGATACATTTGAAGAGCACGCACGTATCGTTAAAACGGTACATTTCCACGAAGTTCGCCGATAACTCGTAGAAAGACGGTCTTGTTAAATTCGATAGCAAACAAGAGGCCCGCTCGAAGCACAGGAGAACTTCGGTCACGAATGAAATCCGTTCGCTTTCCAGTTGCGGACGCGAAAAACTAGGACTTCTATCATGCTTCGACGAAGTCAATTATGCATTGTTCGTTCCATCGTTTAATTAACCGGCCAAAAAGCACTCAACGAAATGAAAAAGTCGCGTGTAAGCCAATGTCACGGACAGTCTAGGGGGGGAGGGTACCCGCCCACGTTTCAGCTTATTAATTACCTGGCGATGTTGATCATGGAGAAAATTCAAAGTGGGTGCTAGAACGCTATGAAAGCGACGTTCTTTCTGTTCAGTGCTGGTTCCACCGGCGGTATGTGAACAATAAGGAGACAATATACGCTGTTGTTAGCGAGTTATGGCAAGTGGTAACTAAATATTCTCTGTTTTAATGTTATTGTTACTATTGATATTGTTATTGCATTAATGTTATTATTAATATTAATATTATTATTACTGCATCGATATTATTATTAATATTAATATTATTATCACTGCATCGATATTATTATTGCATTAATATTATTATTACTATTAATATTATTACTGCATCAATATTATTATTGCATTAATATTATTATTACTATTAATATTACTATTACTATTATTATTATTATCTTTAATATTATTATCTCCTCTTTCCAAATCGTCCATTTTTCTGCACAAAAAAATCATCCGATTTTTATCACATCGATCTTTATCTTCAACTTTTTTTCCCTTTCAGAAAAACCTTTCGCAACCATCGCATTTTATACAAAAGATTATTTACATAGATTACTATAGAACGCCCTAGAGCATCGAGCAACATTTTCGAGCAACATGGAGATTTGGTTCCCAACGATCTCCCCTTCGCCTCCTAAAACGACGAGTATCACGAAAATCAACACGGTGAAATCGAGCATCCCCAAAACCACGGCTCGAATCGCGGACCTGACGTTCGTCTTTTTCGGAGTCAGCCTGAACTTCTTCATGATAGGGGTGATACTATCGAAAGCTTCGATGAGAACAGCCATGAATTTCTACATCGTCAGCCTGGCCTGTTCGAACATGGTGATCCTGATCGAACCGTGGCAAGAAATAATGAATTGCTTCTTCTCCGTCGACAGGATATTGAACATGGATTACGTCTGTCTGATAAGCTTCGACGTTTCCGTGATAACTATAGGTGTGCTGAAATTTCTCCTCTACGTCAACGTGTTCCGGCATGACACGTCATTGGGGCACGCGTTGTGCAAGAAACGAACGGCGATCAAAGGGATCTTGTTGATTTGGTCGGCCAGCATCATTGAATTAGCGATCGGCCTGCATATATACGACTTCTACGAGGGCGACATGGCCGAAATTTACGTTTGGAACACGTTCATGTTCTTCATTTGCCCGTTTCTCATATTCGCTATGCTCGACTGCCTGATCATCTACAATCTGATGATATTCAGGGAGATCGAGGGATCGTGGCGGTCGAAAGAATTAAGATGCCAAATCATGCTAGGTAAAGGAATATCAAAAATAAGTTTATAAAAAAGTGTAAAGAGTAATGTCCCAAAATTATGGTATTTCCGGGAACTGAGAGGTTCCTGAGGTGATACGAAGCAACTTTCTCCTTTACGAAAATGTTCTCCGACGCACCGTTAACGAGTTATTAGCGAAGAACGCTGAACCAATGAGAAGCGAGCGCTCGGCTAGCGCGCGAGGCACCAATAAGCGGAACTGGGCTTCGCGCGCTCGTTGGCTCGGCCGCCTCGCGGCGCCGCCTAGCGCTAGGCGAACTCGCGTCTCATTCGTCAACTGTTTTTCGTTAATAACTCGTAGACAAAGCACCGTATAACATTTTCGCTAAGGAAAAAGTTGCTTCAAATGACCTCACGAACCGCTCGGTTCGCGAAAATACAATAATTTTGGGACACTCTGTACAATGCATATAAACTGGTGTAGAATGTTCTGTAGAATAGCGAAAAATCCTTCGCAGAGATCATCACACTGGCTTTCTATTTTATTCGTGCGCCATACCGAGTTGCCAGGGCGATAAATTTCATTTGGCCGAAACTGTCGTGTTGCACGGACAGTAAGAGAGAGATGCTTTTCTTCATTGCCAAGAGCTTCCCAGCGATCTTTTCCATCATTTATATGGCATCGTCGAACGAATTTCACAGTGCTCTTAAGGTTCGTTGTGTAATCTCTGATTAAATCTTACTGATATTTTGATCATTTTAAATATTTAATAATATTGGAATCTTAAATATGCATGCATAACCGAATATTAACGGATATCGATAAATATTGAATGATATCAGTTTTGTTTCTTTTTTTACAGAACATGGAATCACAAGAGAATTAAGATGCAATCATCAAAAGCTGCACACAGAATTTTTATATATCTCCGACGTGATTGTCATATTTTTTCGCTATAATGCCAAATAATAATTATGAGAGGATTACTGTCTTCGACAAATTAATTCTAGCGAAATTTAACAGTATTTAATATAATTAATAGTTATTACTATAATAAATAGTAATCAATATAATTGGTAGTAATTGATATAATTGATGTAATTAATACAATTGGCAGTAATCGATATAATTGATATAATTGACAGTAATCGATATAATTGATATAATTGATGTAATCGATATAATTGATATAATTGTCAGTTACAAAGTTTATCACTTATTTAGTGCAATTAAATACAATTTTAATAAGGAACAATTTTTTTGAAACAAAGCGATTGTACAAGCCATTTAAATTATCATTTGTTAATATCATCGAAGCCATAATTACTGAACCACCTTTTTACATGATAAATTTTATAATTTATTTTACACAATGTCTTCATATGTATAATAAATGCAGT